AGGACAATTTTATTGTTAGCTTTTACCATTTCATCGATGACATAATTGTTATATAATGGTTTCAATTTTTTAACTTGGTCCAACAATTCTACGACAAGCATTGTGTTGTTGACTTGCTCTCCTTTGCTCTGGAGCCATGCAATTATGACAGCTTTTCTCCAATTCGTAGTTGGGCATTTTTCAATTTTCACCGAATGATAAGGAGCGTTGTCCATTACGATGACAGCGTTGTCTTTGAGTTTCGGCAAAACACCTTCCAACCAATCACGAAAAGAGTCCCCGTTCATCTCATCGTGATAGTCTTGGGTGTTTTTCTTTGACWCAAAGCACAAAAGACCTCCGGGAACAAATCCATCTTCGGAACCGATGTGGCTAACAATTAAACGTTTCCCCTTGCCAGTAGGGTTTATTGCTCCAGTCGAAAGTCCCTCGGAAGATGCCACTCGAGCTGACGTTACAGTTTTGTCGACCCATACTTTACTATTAACATCTCCRGCGTTTACCCACGTTTCATCTAGATAGTAAATTGGCCTTCCTTCTTCTCTGTATCTTTTAATATCTTTTAAATATCTTCTCCGCCAAATTATGATTTCAGATTTTTCAATCAAACCACTATTACGAYCTCGCTTCATATATACGAAATCCATAGATTTCAACAATCTGAATAATGATGTTYGAGAAAAATTTGGTAGACCATTATCTTCATTTACGGACACAAGAATCTTGTCTAACGTAGGCGTATCACGATCGTGCCAAAATTGATGCACTTTTCTTCTGATACCATACTTGTCAAAATCATCTACTTTTTCRGTCAGTTGTTTTCGGACTTTCGTTTTGTTTGGCGAAGAAACAGTTTTTGTCCGTTGATAGTCCAATATGGTGTTATAAATTGTTSATTKACCAATTCCAAGTTCGTAAGATAAAGTTTTTTTCAAGTGAACCATTTTATGTTCAGGGTTTTCGATCATTTTGGCTTTATATGCATTAATAATCATCGTTTTTTGACGGGAACAAACAAACTGAGAAAAGTAAATATATTTAGATTACAATATTATCCACATCAGTTTTGAAATATAAGTAATAGTTAATACCTAATACAAATACATATTTAAACGTTTTATGTACTGTATGTGATCTAATAAGGTTAAACGTAATACATTTTTTTAAACTATAAAACTTTAAAAATKCATTAAAAATATGCACTTGAAAGGCAAAAAAATGGCCAAAATAATTCAAAATATAAGTTTCATAAACCGATTCGTTGTTACATAACTCAAATTATGTACTTACAAAGCTACGTTTCACAATCACGAAAAACGAGAACTTKTATGAAAAATCTGTTTTGACAAAATCTATTTTTTTATGTAGTTGCAACTCAAAAACAAATCACTGGAAGTACTTGAAATTTKAACCAAATGCTTAAATTACCGTTATATATTCACCATTAMATTTTCAAAATAATTCTGCCTTTTTATAAAAGCTATACAAAAATAACTGAAATTTTCGATTATTTTAAAACTTTGATTAAAAAAATTATGATTTCCAAAAACAAATTGAAAATTTATTACAAGATTTTCACTAAGTTTGACTTAAAACAATTTAAAATAGGTATTCAAAACTTAGAAACAATGTCTGGTTCTATATAACAATTGAATATTGCAACAGTCACTACATAATTAATTTAATTTATKATATTATTATTTATTTATCTGTTAAGATATAAGAAGCACATTAATAAAGTTTTGTATTTATTTATTTAAAATTTACACTTGGGTATTTTTACCTTTAAAAAGTAGTTTATATAATTATACTTAAGTATAAATTCACTTCAAATTACGTTAAACTTCAAAGTATTTTCATCATAAAGACACACACTAAATGAGATGACATTATTAAAATTTTTATATAATYATTKTAAAGCAAATTATGGAAAATCTTGTATTAAATTTTTAACTTTTAGCTATTTCTGCAAATTTTTTTATAATTTTTTAACTACAAATTTATTTGCAAATATTCATGATTTCGACGAATTTTGTCAACATTTGCACTTCAACCGCTAATACAAAAAAAATTGTGCTTATATATTTTTATAATTTTTATCTCTATAAAAAATTTTCAAGTATTATGATTAAACCAAGATATTTTTATCGGTATTTATAAAAAAAAAACAAAACAATCGTTATCGTTACCCGTTTTCGTAAAAATTTAATATTCAGACGCTCATAAAATTTTTTCCTATAATGACGCTTCAAGTTTTTTCTATAGCAATTTGAAGAAAAATTTATAAAAAAAAATTATGAATTTTCAGCTGCAAATTGTAAATTGTAAATTTTCGCAATTATCATATATTTCGTAAAAAATTGAACTTGAAACGCTTATAACAAAAAATTGTCACACGATTTTTTATTTTTTTTTTAACTACAATAAGAAAAACTTATAAAAAACTTTGTATTCAATTATCAAGGTTTTTGGGAATACAATATTTTTTTKGGGACATTAAAATAAAAAATACTTAGAAAAATCGAAAATTTCAGTTGTCTATAAACACAAAAAATTTTTAACTGTTTATAGATTACCCTAATTTATATATTTTGTGAAAATTTAGTTACAACCACATAACAAAACCACTTTGTCTAAAACTGGTTTTGCTTAAAAATTCCTGTTTTTCCGTCACTTTTTTTTTTGTTTTCCTGATTTTTTTAAAAATTACTGGGAAATTATTTTTTAAAAAAACACATCATAGTAAAATACACATATTATACAATAAAAAAATAATATACGGTATTTTTATATCTTGTGTTTTAATTCAAAAACGAATAACCATTCATACTTGAAATTTTCAAAAAAATTTTTGTTGTTATAGCGCCTACGTTACATTGAACGAATTGGTTTATTAATGTTATTACTTAGTAATACTAAGTAACGAGTAACTAAAAATATTACTTCATCATTTTGTGGATATGTTAACAGTTCTGGCAAAATTTCATTTTGTGGAGACCACTTTAGTTGTATTCTACAAGATGGTTGAAGTGGTTAAGACTAAAAAAAAAATCTTAGATTAGAAATACTTAATACTTAATACTTAATATTCATACCTTAGTTTAAGTTTGTAAGGTTAAATAGTTAAATATTTTAATTATTATTTAATTTACCTCATACATAGAAGATTGTAGCATATCAGGACAATAATAGTTACTATTTGATGTTGAAGGTTTGTTATAAACTTCAATGTCTTCAACACTTAGAGAATTACTAGTAACAATAACATGTTGATCTAAAAATAA